AAAAAAAAAAAAAGGTTCAACCCCAAAGCCCAGTCAACAATTCCCTAAAGTAGCAGAAACTCCCTCCGAGGTAGATATCTGAGTCAGACACTCTCGTCCACCGAGCGATTCTATTGGTTTAAGATGAGCTGCGTATGAGGTAATAAAGCCGTCTGGGGGGGCTGGGAGTGGGGAGGCACAGGGGGTGTGGCCCAGAGCCTCTGTCCAGAAGTGTGTCCCCATTTTTGGCATCTCTGGTTGGGCAGGGCTGGCTTCTCCACAGATCTCAGAGCAGATAAGTGGGGTGAGGGAGGGAGAGTGGAGGAGCCCAGAGAAAGAGAAAACAGTGTGTGTGTATGTGACAGAGGAGAAAGGAAGGATCTGAGAAAGGATTCTGGATGTGTTTCTGTATAAGAGAGAGGGAAAAAGACCAAAAAAAGGGGGAGACAGAATCCACTCTCCCTTGAGGGAACATCATTCTCCCTGCCATGTAGTCAGCACCCCAAGCACTGAGAGTCTGGGCGGGGAGGGGACAACCCCATTCGCCCTTCTGTCTTGTGCTTCTCCTGGGTCTGGGGTTTGTCCTCCGGATGCCTGTGTCCTCTTCCTGTGGTCTCGTGAGCCCCCACCCCTGTGGCCTTGAGGGCCGAGATCAGTTGGAAGTGTCAGAGTGAACGCTCCCTGGTCCCTCTGTTGGGGATGTCACTGAGGATGGGGTCACAGCCTCCTGCCAGCCGCCGTTCGCCTGGGAAAAGAGAAGGACAGTTGGGGGAAGACTCTGGGAAAGCTAGTGTGGAGTAAAACACAATCAGGGAAAAGGCCCTTCAGTTCTGGGAGAGGTGGGGAGAGGGGTTTCAGGTGTCCACTCACCCTCATTTCCCGAGGGCTGTACATCTGGCCTCCCCCGAGGTTGTCCCCGTAGCCCCCAGGCCCCATAGTGTGTCGGAGTGATTCCACCTGCAGCAGCAAAGGAGCTCATCACCAGCGAGAAGCCTCAAGAGACGCCTCTTATCCTCAAGGAGGGGATCTGAGTGTGGGCAAGTCCTACTCACGGGGAGATGGGCCACCTGACCTGGGAGGCAGAGTAGGAATCTCCGTTGAGGCCGGGCATTCCCAGAAACATGTCTCCGGATCCTGAGAGGTTGAAAGAGCCGCCAGAGCCTTCGGGAGCAGAGAGGGAGGTAGGGAGAGGACAACAAAGCCTGTGATGGCGGATAGGAGACTCACCACGGCTCTGTTTCTGAACGCCCTAGGTCTTGGGGCGCCCTGCACACAAACCAGCCGCAAACAACCTGGCGTGCTCAAGAGGAGCCCCCGCCACCCCCAGGAAAGGCAGCAGTGACTTTACTGCAGTGCGCCCTGCGGTGTCCTGACATTCCCAGCTCCCTCAGCTTGGTCCCCCTCATCCCAAAAGGCCCCTTTTCGGCTACAATCCTGCCTAACTAGGAAGTAGGAACAAAAGCAGGAAGTGTGCACAACAGCCAGGCAGGGTGGCAGCGGGATCCACCTGCTGAGGAAGGGGGTGTCGGGGAGCTGGTGCGGCTGTGGCCCCCCTGGGTGACGGACACGGCCGTCTTGACAGCGTAGATGTTTGCCTCCTCTTGGAACTTTCCAATGTTTTTTTTATAGCGAATCCGCTTGTTGCCAAACCAGTTGGAAACCTGTGAGGTGTTAGCAGAAAGAAGGGTCAGGTGCGAACCTTTCCTCCCCTGAGACCCTCAGTCAGTCAGAGCAGAGAACTTTCTGTCTGCAGTCTCCCAAGACTCTCCCATACCTGAGAGACGGTGATTCCGCACTTCTTGGCCAGCTCCTCTTTAGCCTCCTCACTGGGATATGGGTTACTCAGGTGCGAGTAGAAATACTCATTTAGGACCTCGGTGGCCTGTTTGCTGAAGTTACGGCGTTTCCGTCTACAGAGGAACAAGGGTGGCGAGTCACTGGAGTCCGGGCAGTGCCGCCATGCTGCTCCACCCCAGGGCACCACCCTCAAGGAGCACTTTCATGCAACTCTGTGGTCCAGGGGTTTGGGGACTGGCGGGAAGAAGCCTGGGGCTCTGGGGGTCCCGGGGTACCACCTGGCATCCAGGAAGCGGGAACGCAGGATCATGACAGCCTCACAGGTACTTTGCTTGAGCTGCATCTGGATGGCGCTGAACTTCCGATGGATGATGCTCACCATGCGCTCCATCTCCTTGGGGGCCACGGGCCGAGTCCGGCTCTGCTCCCTCAGCAGGTTCATGACGTGGGTTGTGAACTCATTACACGCCTGAGGTGCGAGCCGGGGGCTGGTGAGAAGGTGCCCCCCGGCCTGGGGTTTCCCCTTGCACACCTGTCCCGCCACCCGCCCGGCCTCCTCTCCTGACCTGCTCGTACTTCTCCAGCTCAGAGTGGTAGATGTGGCGGATCTGGGCAAGTTTGCTGCGATAGTCCGAGTGTTCAATGGAGTTGTCAGGAGACACGCCGCCCCCGGAGGCTGCAGCTGCCGCAGCCGCTGCAGCGGATCCCCCTCCTTTCTCGGGCCCAGCCACACCCTCTGCCAGAAGCATGTTGTCCAAGCGCATTAGCTGTGGATCTACCGGCTCTTCCTCTTGGGAGCTCCGAATGCTGAGGCCTAGCATGCAGGCGAGTGTTCTTAGGGAACCAGAGACCCCACACCCAGCTCTCAACCCCCTGGGAGATCCGAGTTTCCTGGCTGACATTCCCAACCCATGCTCCCTGAACCCCACTTCCCTCAGGGGTCCAAGCTGTCAAACTCTTAACTGAAGGTCCTAGAGTGAACAGACTGGCCCCAAAGTTGAGGGATCAAGAGGGAGCCCACATACCAGTTTTCTCCTTGATTTCACACAGGACGCTAAAGAGAGCAGGCTTCATTCGGTGGCAGTTTAGGGCATGTTTCCTTGGGAGGAACAGGAGAGAAAAGTCGAGGAGCTACAGAAACAGAGCAGGAGGTCCCTGGGGTGAGAGGGGTGCCCTAGGACTAAAAGGGAAGTGGGAACTCTGCAGGGGAGAAAGTGAAGGCAGAGAAGAAATGGACTTGGGGCTTCTTGGGATAAGATCAGCTGGCAGAGTGCAGAGGTGGGGAAGCTGTTTGTCTTCTGGAAGATGGAGAGAAAGTGCAGGCAGCCAGCTAAGGGACCTGAACTGGGGGAGATGGCCTGGAAGGGTACTGGGGGAGATGGGGGGTCCACAAGTGACTCTGGAGATTTCAGGGAAGAGAGATGGAGCCTGGGGAGAAGAGTCAGTGTCGGGTGCCAGAGACCGGTTAGGTGTGCTGAGCTCTAGTGGGGCACTCACTTGGGAGTACTGTTGGGAGGGGCATGGTGCCCAGGCACTTAGGCTCCCAGGGGACTGAGGGGTTAGGGGGCTGGTGAAGGCCTCCCAAGGCTGGCCGAGCTTCCATGGAGAGGAGTGGTAGGAGCTCTGGGGAGAGTTGGGGAGGTCCCCAGGTCTGGAGGGGATGAGGGTGGGCTGGGTGGAGAAAACAACACAGCAGTTTCTTAGTCTGGGAGCCAGGGTGGGCAGGAGACAGAGGCATGTTCCAAGCAGAGTGTGGGGGGTCAGTGGGAGGTTAGGAGGGGGGTGGTGAGACCACCTGGGGTTCCTGTCTCAAAGGTTTCAGGGGCCTGGGGATGAAGGGAGGTTTCAGAGGGATCACTTATCTCACGGCTCCCAGGAGTAAGAAGAGAGCTGTAGGATCCTGGAGTTGGGGGTGGGGGGTGGGCTCCCAGAAGATTCAGAGCTTATGAATGGGGTTTCTGCTGGGTCTGTGTGGGGTCCCGGGGTGGGGGCACTCACTTGGCCTGGGCCTCGTCCAGGCTCTGGTCGGTGATGGTCATTATCTGCTGCAGAATGTCCCCGATGTCTTGCTTCCCTCGGCCTCCCGGGACCCCCCCGCTACCCCCTCCGGGGTCTCCGCCACCGGGAGGCTCGCCAGGGCCCCCAGTCTCCCCACCCACCAATCCCAGACCCCCCCGGCCCCCGCCAGGAGGGGGCGGCCCCAGCAGCCGCTCGTCCATAGTTGGGGGGGGGGCCCTGAGGCCCCCTCCCTGCTCCGCCCCTCCCCCCGCCTGGTTACTTCCCCCCCAAACTCGCTGGAGCCGCTGCTCCCTCCGCCCCAACCCCCGCCCGTCTTCCCCGCTCCCGGCTCCCCGGGGGGTTCACCCCGGCCCAGAAGGGAGACCTGGGGTACCGCCTGGGCCCCCCACTGGAGACCCCGGCCCCCGGCGGCGGAGAAAATGGAGCCGGAGAGAGAGAGGAGGCCCAAGCGGGGGTGTGTGTGAGAGAGAGGGAGGAGGGAGGAGGGAGAAGGGGGGAGCGAGGGAGGGAGGCTGGGGGAGGGGAGCCGGGGAGGAAGAGGAGGGGAGAAGAGAGGAGGAACGGGGAGGAGCTGGGGGCGGAGAGAGACGCGCAGAAACGGAGGAACTGAGACTGAGTGGAGGAGGGGAGAGGGAAGACGGGCGAGGGGAGGGGACTGGCCCACCGGGGGAAACTCGGGAAGGCCCCGGGGCCGGACTGGCTGCCCTGTAAAGGGGCGTGTGGGGGGCTGGGGCCTGCCGCCGGGTTCTAAATCCGGGATCTAGACGGTGTGGACGCGGGCCGCTGGAAGGCCGGGGTTCACAGACAGCGCAGTTCATATTTCTTGCCCTAATGACTCCCCTCCCTGTTCTACTTAATTAAAACCAGGAGAGGGGGTGGTAGAGGGGGTAATTAGGGAGGTCTCCAGCCGCTGCTTAATGAGCCAGTAATTAACCAGCCAGGGAGGGGAGCTGGCCTCTGGCCAGACTGGAGAAAGAGGCGGCCTCTGGCCTCACCTTTCCACCCTCCACCCGGCAACCCCAGACACCAGTCTTAAGTCCAGAGGGGAATTGTATTTATTCATACATCAGACAGACCCGGGCAATAGTGGGGAGGGCTGAAGGGCAGGGCATATTGTCCATTCACAGCCTGTAGGCCCCTTGGTCCTGGGGCTGGGGGCAGGATAGTAGTTTCTGTGCCCACTATTTTCCTTCTTAAAGGGCAGAAGGAGGGTGGAATTGTCTCTCTCGCAAGTCATAACCTTAGGACATTTCCCTCTTCTTGGGAGATGGAGGCCTGCTTAGTGGCTTGACTACTGGGAGTGTCCCCATTTTCGAACCAAGACTCTCAGCCATTCCCTTTAGATCAGAGGTGAGGGATGGGTTGTCCCTCAGTGGCTGGGGTCTTCCAGCTGCCTCAAGCTCCCATGTTCTGGAGAGGGCGTTAAATGGCCATCCTACCTTAACTATCCCCAGAATTTGAGGACTTCACCCCCTCCAGTTCCCAGGGAAGGTGGGCTCGGGTCATGGATATTGTGGTTTCTGCTGAGTCCTTCAGTCTCCTGCAAGCTGGGCAGATGACATGCTGTGGACCGCCCAGATTTGAGCCCCAGGTGTGTGGAGAGGTCCATGGGAGCCCAAATCTCAGTAGGAGTGTGTGGGGGGCCGGGACCTTTGCTCCTCCATTCGACCCCCACCCTGAACTCTCAGCAGCAGTTCCAGGAGCTCCTGCCCCCCTGGGGGGAGTGGAGGTTCTGACCGCTGGGCTTCCATCCGCTGGCACTGGAGGAGTGGAGGGAGAGGAGGTTTTGGTGAGGTGAGAGGAGGAGGCTTTGAAAAGAGCCAAAGTTGGTATGAGGGGCATGTAAGACTCCTGTGATGGGGCTGGGGAAGTGGGACCTGGTGAGGGAGCATGTGGCCCGAGAGAAGGGGGGGTAGTGCCCCAAAGAAACTGGAGCCAAGAGGTCTGGAAGTCTGAGTCTTGCCTCTTTCTTAGTGGTGTGGGGGGGGGGGCGTGTCTCACCTGGTGACTGAGGATGGTGCTGTAGAGCTGTTCTCTGTCCTCATGAGGCCGGGGCAGGGCTCGGGCAAGGCTTGGGGAGTTCTGAGGGGCATGGAAGATGGCCCTCTGCTCCTCTAAGCGGCGGGACTGAGCCTCAGCCACCAGGTCCAGAAGGAGCTCAGTCTGCAGGGAGAGTAGGGAGGCCGAGCGGGGCCCCAGGGCTGGGGTGGGGGGGGGGGAGAGGGAGGGCTCAGAGGCCTGAGATCTCTTCAGGCAGAAGCAGTGGTGGTGGGGAAAGGGTAAGGTAATTAGACACTGGGGGTCAGAGCTAAGGAGGGGGGTGGGTGGGTGATGGGAGACCCAAGGAGGTGGGGAGAGGGCCTATGATGTAGTGGGACTTGGTAATGGGATCAGGAAGGATGTGGGAGGTCTCTGGGCTGGTGAGGGTACCTGTTTGGTGGGTTCCTGGAGGAGGAGGAGATGGAGGAGCAGATCGCCAAGGCCGGGTGGTGGTGTTCACAGGGGGCCAGCCATGATCATCCTCATGGGGCTCCTGATGCAACAAATACCCGGTCTAGTCAAGTGGGGCTGGGTGGGCAGGGGGCTAGGCCTGCGGCCCATTTCCCCTGTCTCTTCCTGTCTCAATTTGCCCAAACCCTTCCAAGTCCCAAGTTCACCATCACAGGTCCTGCCCCAGGTCCTTTCACCTCCCTTTCTGCCCAGCCTTAGCCTCCCCCATCGGGTGCCCAGCTCAGCTCACCTGCTCACCATCCTCTTCTTCCTGGGGTTTCTCTGCCTCCATCCTGGGATGGGGAATCGAGGGGGAGGGGTAGCTGGGATTTGGGAGGAGGACCGGAATCCCTGAGTTCCTGAGGGAGTGGGGGCTGGAAGGGGTGGGGGTGAGCCAGGGGCTGGATGCCTGGGTACTGAGCAGGAAGCTGGGTTCCTGGTCAGCCCCCCCCCACGGGCCCCGCCCATCCCTGTCAACTTCCTCCACTTCTCTTTTCCCACCCAGACTGCTAGTTCGTTGCCCCAGGGGAACACAGAAACTGGGAAAAACTTCTCCAGCTGCTATAGTGGTGGAGGTTCCTGGTGGGGAAGGACTCTTGGTCTTCTTATTTCCAGAGACTTAGTAGCCCCTTAACCCTCTCTATTCCCTCACCCTCCCCTCCCCTGCAGCTCTGTCAACACAGGAACTAGCTACACAGGAAGTGGTTTCACTCCCCAGAAACCCCCTCCCTGCCCCCTAGATCCCTTCCCTCCTTAAGATGACCCTGATGCAGGATTTGGCCTTCCCCTGCTTCCCAGCCTTCTTCACATACTGGGACTACAGCACATGGTTCCAGTGGGAAACATTAGCTTCAGACTTGGGGGTGGCAGCCCTCAGACGGACACACACACACACACACACACACACACACACATTAAATTTCTCCAGTCTGGGGTCTAACGCGGTAGGTGATCAATAGAAGTGTGCTATATAGTTACCCCTGCCCTCTAGGTCTATTCAGGAGACAAGATATGCAGTAAATGTGAGTGGCAAATGCAGGGAAACTCAAACTCATCTAGTCATGAATGAATACAAATGGAAAAGGAAGAGGACTGCCTTCCTGGCTTGGTCTTTGATCAATGCTGGTCAGGCTGGTTGGAATTAGGATCAGAATAGGACAGAGACATTGGGACCTCTAAATGGCAACCTGCCATATTGGGAGAGGGGAGAAGTTTACAGCTGAGTAACCTGGAGCAAGACATGATGAAGAGATCTGGTTCTGTCACATAATGCTTTGCAGTCTAGGGCAAATAAACTGCCTCAGTTTCTGGAAGTAAACTACAACTTGAAGAGCACCTACTTTTATAGAGTTGACATGATTGTAAATGTGATTAAGCACTTGGCTCGTAATACTCAAAAATAGTTACTAGCTTTTAAAATACCTCTTGTCACCAAGTCTCAAAGACATCACCATGAAAGAGGTGTAACCACTTTGCTGAAAAATGAAGTTTGAGATGCTCTCTTTACCTCATTTGAGGCATTAGAAATCTAAGTGGCCATAACAAATGCCTTTGGAACAGGACAAAGGTTATGCATGATCTAGTGTGTGTGTGTGTGTGTTTGTGTGTTTTCCTCCTGGCTAATACTCTTGTTTTCAGGTAATACCCTGAATCCTAAATGGGCCCCCAAAATCTATTTACACTTGCTCTTAAACTATATTCAAAGCTGTGGCCAAAATGTTGAACTTAAAAACACAAAATTCCAGGCCCTCCCTGTTGGCGCAGCGGGTTAAAGCACTGCACTGAGAAACTAAAGCCACCTCCGCATGAGTTCGACTCCCGCCTGCCCCGGAGGCGACCACATGGCGCGGCAGACCTCTCCTGACCCACCCGCTGCTCCCCTCAGCAGTGTACTTCATCGATCTGCCTGTTCTGCTCCCCACTCTGTCTCTGGTGAATCCTCTCACCCTCCGCATCTCTGGCCTATACCCCAGTTCTGTACGAATAAATAAATAAATCTTTAAAAAAAAAAAAAACACAAAATTCCAGAAACACTCTCCATATTTTCTCCCATTCCACTTAACAAAAAAAAATTTTTTTAAAGTAATACTTCAGGCCTTCCCTGGTGGCTCAGCGGGTTAAAGCACTGCACTAAGAAGCATAAGCCACTTCCACATGAGTTCAATCCCCGCCTGCCCTGGAGGAGATCCACATGGCGTCGCAGACCTCTCCTGACCCGCCTGCTGGTCCCCTCAGCAGTGTCCTTCGTCGATCTGCCTGTTCTGCTCCCCACTCTGTCCCTAGTGAATCCTCTCACCCTCCGCATCTCTGGCCTGTACCCTAGTTCTGTATGAATAAGTAAAAAAATCTTAAAAAAAAAAAAAGTAATACTTCAAATCAGCTTTATTATAGCCTGACAAAGACGGGCTTCTTAAATAGTTAAGCGGACTGTAAGAATGGTGCTTCATCCCTGCAGTGGTTTCTTTGGGAGTGGGGCGTGGGAGAATGCAAGGAGTCATCAGCTGGAGTGGACTTTGGCCCACTCTTCAGCACCTGCACAGTGCCTGGCACATAGTAGGTACTCAATAAATACGCTAACCATTTTTAAGTGGTAGGGGTGATTGATGGGTGCTAAGAGGCTCTTTTGGGAACCATGTAAATAAAGAACGTTGTACATCTTATCTCTTCCCCTACTCCACTCGACCCTTTCTGTGGCTCATCATTTTCTGGGAGAAGGGCTGGACTCATTTCATGCCAGCATTCTAAACCCTCTTCACAGGGTGCCCCTTCTCCACGTGGTAGACGACAGTGGTTCTGGTGCTTCATTCCTTTTAGGTGGGACACTAAACTCATAACCCTTCACTTTTGGAGCTCTAGGACCTTAAAATCTGTAGATTTTCCACGTTGCCTGTCACTTAACGGGTATTTGTTTATGAACCCCTCCCTGCCGTGCAGCCTTCTACTTCTGTCCATCGCTTCCCGCACTGAAGGTTATTACTTGGCGGGCTGGGGAACCCCAGGCAACTTGAGGAGAGCCCCGCTCCGGGGACGGAGTCAGGCAAGGAAGCGGGATCGGGGTGTTGGAGGCGGGACCACAGGCTCCCAGGGCAGCCCAATCGTCAGGCAAGTCATCAGCTGAAGCAGCACCTCCACTCCCGGCCGCGAGCCCGGATTTCCCTCGCACTTTGCCCGGGCCGAGCCGTGGCCCGCGCATGCACGCTGAAAACTTAGGGCCGTGCGGGGGCGGGCCTCCTCCTGTCCTTCCTTTCGATAGGCTGAGGCCGTGGGAATAGGCCCCGCCCCCCCGCGCGGCCAAGTCTACAGACAAAGTCGGCGCTCGCAGGCGGGCTCCGCCCCCACGCGAGCCGGCTCCGCTGGACAGTGTCCGGCCGCGCGGCAAAGCCCCGCCCCGCGATGGGGGCACGCTCTCCGACGCCGAACGAGCGCGCGGGCACAGGCAGGCTCCTCCGCCCGGCGTGGCTTTGTGACGTGCCTCCGGCGGCCCCGCCCCTTCCAGTAGCGTCAGCAGATCCCAGTGGTTTCGCTGGCGGGCGATGTCGGCGGGCGCCAACCCGGTCTGGTCCCGGAGTCCTCGGGCCGCCCCCAGCCCCAGCAGCAGCTGGGCTACCTCCACCGCCCCTTCTCGGGCTGCGAGGAATAGCGGCGTCTGCTCCTGTGCGGGAGGACACACACGGGGGTGAGGTCAGGGAAGGTCACGAACAAAGAGTTGGCATTTCATAGCTCCACCCACTTGCCCGCTGCCCCGCCCCCCGCCAATTTTGTGGGGTTCCCGCGCTTTCCATCTGGGACTCCCGCGCGATTAGTTCAGAAAGTGGGTGTGTGTGGGTGTGTGTGGGTGTGTGTTGGGGGGGGGGGGGGGCGGGAGAGTGGAGCCCGCTACCCGGTCTGACCCTGCTGTCTTGGGCGTCCTTATCAGCTCCGGCCTGGAGGAGGGAATGCGCGGCCCGGGCATTGTTCACGGCTGCGGCCCAATGCAGTGCGGTTTTTCCTAGGGGTGACGTGAGAGGTTGTTACCCCGAGGCAGGGGGCCAGACGTCTAGGTTCCTGTTTCCCACGGAGTCTGGCCTTGGGGGAAGAGCTATTCGGGGCCGCCGGGTCCCACAAAGGCGGAAGCGTGGCCCCGAGTGACTGCGGGCTGGCAGGAAGCGGTACCCCCGGTGACGTCATCGGCGCGCGGGCCGGACAATGGGGCATTGTTCTGGGGTCGGTGGGACCGGGAGACCACCTCTACCCACAGGACCCCTCCTTCCCCCTTCTCACAGACACTCCTGTCCTCTACCAGTGGACCAGGGTAGCTTGTGTGTGTACGGGCTCCTTACTGCCGCTGGACTGTGGATTTACCACCCTGACATCAGCGTGGGAGAGAATGCCCCAGCCTCTAGTTGCTACAGCTGCTGCCCCCCCTCCTTTTTATTTTGCATTTTGTGCCCCTTGAGCTGAACTTCTCTACCGCACATCACCGACCTTCTCAGACCCATACCCCATTTATCTCGGGCTCCCACATCAGCTTGGGCAGCAATCAGTTCTTCAACCAGGTCCTCCACTGCCAGCCTGGCGGCTAACATCAGGGCTGTGGTCCCATCTTCTGTCCGTGCATTCACTGCAGTTTGTCTGCTTCGAAGTAGGAGCTGGGGGCCAGAGATACCAATGGAACCAATGGTATATCCAATGGTATATCCTGGACTGCTAGCTCAGGTCCTTCCCATTTAACCACCTCCCAGTCTATTGCAGTATCAGTTCCTGTTTCCCTTTCAGCCCCCAATCTCACATTACCTTCCTTTTTATCAAGCCCCAGGGGATGCCTTTCCCCGGCTTTTCTTGTGGGTTGGCCCCCTCTTAGCCACCTCAGTGTGTTCTGACCTGGCAGACCTCCCGAGCATCAGCAGCTACAGCAGTATGAAGAGGGGTGCGTCCTGCTCTGTCAGGCTGGTTGGGGTTGGCTCCAGCCTCAAGGAGGCGGCGGGCAGCAGTTGGCCTAGAGAACCTGGCTGCCAGGTGCAGGGGGGTCTCCCCAGTGCCCATGGTGTGAGCCTGGGGACAGGCCCCTCCACCTAGCAGGGGTTCCCAGGGCTCCAGGCCTCCTAACCATGCTCCCTGGAAGGTCCTGGACTCTACTCCCCCACAGCAGACTGCTGACATCAGGGGTGTCACCCCATCTGTGGGTGGGAGACATGAAGAATGGGAGACAAGACAAAGGACATAACTACTGAGATGGTGAAAACAGGGAGGCTTAGGGAGAATCACAGCCTGAAGTGTCTGGAAGCCCAATTCTAGCTCTTGAGTTTTGAGTGTCACTTCTCTGTTTTTTGTCACTTCTCTGTTTTTCTCTGGACTTTAGTTTCCCTGTCTGTGAAAGGAGCCTAATTTTCTGACATTGTAGGGCAGTGGTTTCAAACTTGAGTCTGGATCATATTCACTGGAGGGCTTCTTAAAACTCAGATTCCAGGGCCTCCCTGGTGATACAAGGGCTTTAGTCTCAGCACTGACTATTGGCAGCCACTGAAGCATGAGATTCCCAGCCAGGGAGCTGACCCACGTGGCCCAGCAGACCTCTCCTGTCTGCCTGCTGCTCCCCTTAGCAGTGTGTTTCAGTAGATCTGCCTGTTCTGCTCTCCAACTCTCTAGTAAATCCTCTCACCACCCCACTCCCTAGACTATACCTCAATTCTTGTATGCATATATACCTCTATAGTCTATACCTCTAGACTATACCTCAATTCTTGTATGCATAAATAAACATCTGAATTTCTGAATTTCTGAATCCTGTGCCTCTGGAGTGGTACCTGGGAGTTTGTGTTACTAACAGTTTCCCTGGTAATGCTGATTTTTTTTTGGTTTAGGGTCCACACTTTGAGAATCACTGTCTCAGACAAAGACTTTAACATTCGTTTCCCCTGTCCTGTTATCAGAAGACATTCTGATTCTAAAAGGGTGTGTGCATTTTCCTGGTCTGGGTTGACTCACATACCAGGTCCACAGGAGTCCACGTCCACTTCAGTTTCTTGGGGAGGAGTCAGCATGATTGCTTGGGGGAGCTCCTGGCAATCACCACTCAGAGACCAGAGCTGGCACTTGGAGGGTGAGGCCCTCTCATCCACCTTGGAGATCAGAGCAAGGGTCAGTGAAAGCGAGAGACTTGTCCTTCAACCCCTCCATCTTGACCCAGTGATTTCATCGGACCCACCTCCTCTCCTTCCTCAGGGCCTGAGCATATCACAACTCCATCCTCATCAGCTTCTGCCTCTGATTTCAGTGTTCTTGAAAGGGAGTGGGTATATAGATGTTACATAGGGTGATCCTCTTCTGGGCTCCCCAAGGTTTCCAGCATCCTTTTTCCACCCTCCCTATCTGAGCCTTCTGCAATAGCGTCACATTGCTTCTGATCATATTGTCACAGAAAGATCCCCCTTCCTGGGCCCCATTTCTTCCCCACTCACTTGAGGCGAATGCTGTCCTCACCCAGAGGGGGCCGGCGTCGGCGCGGGACTGACTGTGTCCGAGGCCGTCTAGTAAACCCGGGGGGCAGCCAGAGGGCCCCATGCTCTCTGCGGGGCCGCCGCCGAATGAGCTGGAGGACGAGAAGAGCCCCAAGGGCCAGGAGAAGCACCCCGGCTATTGGTGAGCACAACACAGGCCAGGGCAGCTGGTTGTTGGGGGGCTCTGGTGAGAGAGAGACAGTCACAGGAAAAAGCCATTCCTGGTGAGGCTGGGCACTACTGTGGCACCTTTGAGCAAATGCAGTAACCTCTCCTTGCCTCCACTGCCTCATCTGTAAAATGACAATTATGATAGTATCTACTTTGTGGGGTGGTTGGGAGGACCAAATGGGTTAATACTGTAAAGTGACTACAGCAAGGCCTGGCACTGAGTAAGGACCATGAAGACATACTTTTGCAGGTACCAAGAACTTTTTGATGCAGAGGTAACTGCGTACTCTCAGTGTAGCGGATAGATCAGACTCCAAGCCCTCTGGGAGTCTGTGAGAGGTCAGGGTAAAGGATTTAGGAGAATAAGAGATTGCAGAGCAAGTGGGCCATGAGAAGGGCTAGGGAGGGTAAAGCCTCACATAGAATTTTGCATCACAGTGACCCTGTTTCATTTCACCTCCATTGTTGGTCTTGGGCTTGAAAGCTGGCCTGGGAGCAAAGTTGGGAAATGATGGGGTCACCTACCAGTGCCTGCACGAGGGTGGGCAGCCAGGAGGGGTCCTGGCAGTAGGGGCTCCAGGGCCCCCACTGCAGCCATCGCAGCAAGGAAACGGAGCAGGAGCCCAGAGTCCCAGGGACAGCGGGATGCAGGATGGTCAGGGCCACAGCGAGACAAATCCACACCCATCACCACCACAAACCTATAGGGGAGGCACCTCAGAATCCCCTGTGTTGGTCCAGGCTCCCTTCCCTACCTCTGATCAAAAAGTAGTGTGTGGCCCCCCTCTTTCCCCAGACTTCTTACCCAGTGCTGAGGGAGTCTGTCTCCTTGCCCTGCGGGGCTGCTCTCTCCTGCAGGAAGCGATCTGGGGTTCCTCCTAACTCCTCTTCGGCTTGGGTCCCAGGATAGGGGTAGACCATGTCCCTGCCGTCACTGTCCTTCCTCACCCAGAGCCCCACCCTCAGAGTCAGGGACAGCGCCCGGGCCAGGGCAAGCAGCTGCTGGTCCAGGCCTGGGGAGCTCAGCACCACCAGCAGGGCCAGGGAGGGCTCCCACTCTGCATTGCCGTCTTGGGGCCTGCAGTCACCCCCATCCCAGCCACATTCTGCCGTGTTGCAGCCTTTCTCACAGTGTCCATTGTGGAAGTGGTCCTGGCAGTACTGGTCATAAGCAGGACTGTGGGGTGAGGAGAGGGTGACTCAGGACCTCCACACATGCCTGACTCCTCTTTTCACTCAGAGGACTCCTGGTATTCTGGCTCCAGGGTGCTGCTTGCTAAGCCAGGCAGCTCTAGGGCAGTGAGCAGACAGACGTCCAGACGCCCTAATGTCGACTGACACTCTTGTTCCTGAGACTGCCCTCTCCCTGCCTTCCCAAGCTCCCCTGTCTCCGAAGGGGAGACCAGGTACTTTTTTCCTCAGGGATGCTGGGTGCTGGGGGAGAGACATTATGGTAACAAGACTTAGAGGCTTGAGGCCAGAAATCCCACAACTCTCAAATGACCAGAGAGTTAGTTTGTGCCTTTTATCCCCCGGGGGTTGGAGTCTAGCATCTTCTGTCCTCACTTAGCAATGGAAAGTCCCTGGACCTTGAGGTTACACTAACTCAAATGCATGCATCTGTGTCCTTCCACTTGCCCTCATTAACCTCCCCCATCACCCTTAGTCTCCCCCTTCATGCCCTCCCCAGCCTCCCCCTCCCTCCCTCGGGATTACAGGCTCACGTGCAGGCTGCAGGAGTCTCACAGTCGTAGCCATCAAACAGGCACTCTTCGGAGTCACATTGAGGGTGGCACTGGCCATCCCGGAAGAGAAGCCAACACCGAGCTTGGGAGGGGCACCCTTTCCAGGGGTCTGGGACCCCCAGGGAGCAGTCCCCTCCATCCCAGTTTCCTCCTGGGCCGCTGCATCCAGCATCACAGGTCCCATCTCCACCTCTGCCCTCACACCCCTTGGCTCCAGGCTTCTGACACCTGGGTCCTGGAGAGTTTGGGGGGCAGGAGCATCGAAAACCTGGGCCCCCCAGCCCCTGGATCTCTGAGCAGCTGCCATTGTATAGGCAGGGAGAGGGAGGGCCGCAGCCCTGGGGAGCTGGCGGGGTCAGGCAGTCAGGGCCCCCGTAGCCATTGAGGCAGGCACAGCGGGGTGGGAAGCCAGGCTTTGGGGAGGGCAGACACAGGCCACCGTGGTGGCAGTGATGGAGGCCGCAGGAGGGGGCTCTGTGACTGCAGGTGGGGCCTTCAAAACCCTGTGGAGAGGAGAGATTTGGGGAAGAGCTTTACATTTTTCATCCTGTTCCCCTTCAAGCAAACTGAGTTCAGATAATTCATAGGGGCCCAGATTCTTACATCTGGAAGGGACTTTGAACACATCAAATTCATCAAATGGATGTTGAAATCATGTCCCATTTTAATTTCACACAATGGCATATTACATAGGAGTGAAAATGGATGAGTCACTGCTGTGTGCAATAACTTGGATGAATTGTAGCCTCATGATGCAAGTCTGGAAAGATTAAATAGTTAATGGGGTAATATAAACTGATCTAATGGTATGTTATTATCTTAATCCTGGGAGGTAGGATTAGATACTTTCTCTTCCTTTGAATAACAAAAAGGAAAAGAGAATAACATAAAGGAGTACATAAGTATGTGTAAACTGTTGTTAACATTGTAATTGTTGGGTGAAGTTCATGAGTGTTGTAAGAACAAGAAAAGGTCATGCAGGAAGCAGTGATGTTAGTGTATCATGAACTGAGGTTTGGGACAAACTCAGTTACATGTACCTGATACCTATAAACACACACACACACACACACACACAGGACCTTGTCCAAGGTCGCCTCGCTTGACCTGGGGCCTTCCCTCAGGCAGCCCTTGGTTTCTGAAGATTCCGTTCACGCAGCCACCTGCGCCTACTTTGCCCTGACTGCTTCTGAGAGCCACTTTCCACTGAGAACAGGGGGTGGCTTTCTTCAGTCGTTCCCACTCCAGTGCTCCCCTGGGCTCCACTCTAGGCCCCAATTGGGCCTTCTCACCTCACATCAGTGTTTGGGGCAACAGAGAAGGCAGCTTTGCCGTCACTCACCGGGGGGCAGAGGCAGATGAAACCCGGGGGTGGTCCTGCTGTGGCCTCACAAGACCCTCCATGGGCGCAGGGCTGGCTCTGGCAGGGGTCTATCTCCACTTCACACCACTGGCCTGAGGTGGGGGTGGGGCCAGATGTCACATACCTCAGCCACCACCTCCTTCCTGGCTCATTTCCGGGAGTCCCAACACTAGCTGTATAGGCAAAGGGATCCTGGGCGATTTTTCTGGGCCAGGGCATGGGGCAGGAGGATGGCCCAACGACGATGCTTCTCATAGGTGGAAATCACCTGGCTCTCCATTCTGCTCAGCTGTGCCACAGATTCTTACGCCTGCATCCAGCCCTCACCTGTATATCCAGGGCGACACTGGCAGTAGAAGGCATTGGCCAGGGAGTGGCAGGCTGCGGTGCCTGTGGGGTGGCAGGGCTGGTCCAGACACTCATCCACGTCCCCCTCACAGCGCAGGCCCACAAAGCCTGGGGGACAGGTGCAGTGGAAGCCTCCAGGCTTGGGGGTGCAGGTCCCTTGGTTATGACAGGGCTGGGACTGACATGCATCGTGTTCCTTTGAGCAGTTCTGTCCACGGTAGCCTGGGGCACACTGAGGCAAAGAGGGCCAAAGGGAGCCAGTCAACAAACCCAGCCCAGCACTCTGCCCAGCCCATACCATCCAGCGCAAAGCATTACTCAGTGTGTTGCTTAACTAACCTCCTAGCTCTGTTCTACCTCACACGCAATTGCTCACAAATATGCCCTCTAGTATGCTCACCTCATATGCAATTGTTCTCAAATATGTTTCTTCAGTCTCAAGCAGTTGCTATGACAAATAATGCTTAAACTTCTAATTTTTGTAAAACCTCCCTGACACAAGCTATGCAACGGCTATCGTCTGACAGATTCCGGATAGCTCGGGAAAAGCTCTGAAATATCAGAATTTCCACTGCTAACTTATGTTATGACCTCTTTTTTTGTATAATCATAATATCAAAAAATATTGTAGCAACATCAGTTTGTAACTGGCTTCCCTTAGCTCTAAATTGGCTACCTGGCCTGGGCAAAGTACAAGCTGAGCTGCTCCTGGGCAGGAAATTCCTTTGACTGAAGACAAAGGCAAGCTCCTGGAGAGATAAGACCCCAGAGCATCAAGACTCCTGGAAAACTTCTTTGGTCTTTTGACAAAAAGTGATTCTTAAGATAACTCTCAGGGCATAAGGACCCATGGACAATTTCCTAACATTATCAACACAGGTTTTGCTTAATGCACAACTATGTAACTTCTTCTTAATTTACTCTTTTCCTAAAACTATCACTAACTACTCTCTGCTAATCTTATTTAACCTCTTCCTAAAACAAATACTAGCTACTCTCTGCTAACCTTAAGTTAACCATTAGCTTCTCTTTAGGCTATCACCGACGACTATGCTAACACAATTTATACCTTCCCTAGGACTCTTAAATCCTTTGCTAACAGCTCATCCTTTCCCAGACCCTGGTCCTTTAAAGTCACAGTTAAACATCCGTATACATGAAAGCTATCACATGAAAGCTATCACAAAGATGTATAGTATAGTGTGCCATAAAGTAGAAGGAAAAAGATGCATTGTTCCCCTCTTCCTTTGAAACTTTTATGTCGATTTCTTATTAACTTACCTGAGGCATTATTGTAACTAAATCTTGCTAAACAGTATAAATAAAGACCTGCAAAAAGATGAGCAGGAAGATTTGCACCCAACTCCGACTCCTGTGTCTTCCTCACTCCCTATCCCCTTCTTGGAATCTCTGCACGCTGACGCCTTCCCATCTTAGGGTCCTGCCTGTCCTGCCTCCAGACACCTCAAAAGTTGGAGCTGGTCTCCGACACCTCCCCATGATGCAAGCACCGAACTCTGCCATACTTTTATTAATTTGTTCATTAAGCAGTGCCAGGTACCGTATACCCAGTTGGGCACTGGGAATACGAAGACCCTTAGAGCTCATCCCTGCTTCCATGAAGTTCCCGGATATCAGGGAGGGAGAGAGTGTTTATTGCCTGATTTATATACCCAATCTCATAAAACCCTCCCAACAACCCTCTAGATGGCTCCCCTTGTTTGATTTTTAACTTTACAGAAAGGGAAATAGATTCCTTGGAAGATGAAGTGACTTGCACAAGTCACACAGCTAGTAGGCGGCAGAACAGGGACCCAGTGCAGGTCTGTGACTGTGACCCATGCCCCAGACCATTTTCTAGTTGCTTCATATTCTGGTGAGAGAAGGATTGTTGACAAGGTCTTGCAAGGAGAGCATGCCAGACCAGGGAGTTTTCAGAAAGATGGAGAAAAAAGGATTCCCAAAGAATCTGAGGACAGAAGGACAGAAGAAACAGAAAAGGGAAGTGTTCTGAAAACCTCTGGAGGAGGGAATTTCATGAAAACAGAAGTAAATAGGAATAATTGGGGCACAGGGGTTCAATACTAACCGATACACTGCTTTTGCTTATGTTTAAAAATATTTACAATAAAAAGTTAAAAAACAGGGCCCTCCCTGGTGGCACAGCTGTTAAAGCACAGCCACTTCGGCATGAGTTCGATCCCTGCCCCAGAAGTGACACACATGGTGTAGCAGACCTCTCCTGACCTGCCTGCTGCTCCCCTCAGCAGTGTATTTCATCAGTTGGCCTGTTCTGCTCCCCACTCAGGCTCTGGTGAAGCCTCTCACCACCCCTGCACCTCTGGCTTGTATCCCAGTTCTGTATGCATAAATAATTCTTAAAAAAAAAAGTTAAAAAATAAAAAGTTAAGGAATGGGGTTGGCTAGGGGATCTGTCTGGTGTCTTCTCTTCAGAGTTTAGGTTTTTAGGGGTCAGCTTGCTTGGGGTAGAATCCTGGCTTTACTTTTCCCACTGCACCTCACCCCACCCCTCACCTGAATCACCTAGAAGAGCCCTAACCCACCTGGAGAGATGTTGGGGCCACATTTCGAGAAAGGTGCCTCCTGGGCACCCCCCCCCAAAGAGGGAGAGAAAGGCCTTTGCAGGCAGAGGCACCAGCAGGTGCAGGCTGAGAGGCAGAGCCCGCTTGGGGACTGGGGAAGCCAGCAGCATTTGGTTTTGTGTTGCTGGAGCAGAGTAGGAGAGTAGGGCAGGGAGAGGCTGGCAGGCTGCGCCGTGCAGGGGGCTTCACTCTGAGCGAGGTGGCCAGCACAGAGGGCTAAGTTATAAGTAGAGTGACGTGTCAGCTTCACTTTCTACATCATATGCACTACACAGAGAAAAACAGTGAACTAAGTAAAACAGCAACAAACTTTCAGACTGGTTAGAAGGAAAAGGAGAAGGGGGGGAGTGGGTAAATCTGGTCATAGGGGACAATTGTATGGTGAAGGATAGAATTTGATGTAGGTGTGGATTTAATGCGGTATATTTACATGTTGATTTTCAATGAATACACACATTCCTGTATTACATGCGGTATTACAATGCAATGCTATTTCAATAAAAAATAATTATGTTTTTTCTTCACTAGAGCACCATGGTGGTGCAGTAAAGACAGCTTAAGGATGGGCCTCCCTGGCTACACAAGGGGTTAAGTCTCAGCACTATGAAGCTATCCACAGTTATTGAAGCCCCAGTCCGATCCCTCACCAGGGAGCTGACCCACATGGCCCACCAGACCTTTCCTGTCTCGCCTGTTGCTTCCCTGAGTAGTGCTTCTCAGTAGACCCACCTGTTCTGCTCCCTACTCTGTCTCTGGTGAATCCTCTTATGCCCCATCTCTCTGGCCTGTACCCCAGTTCTTATATGCATACATAAAAAAAAAAAAGAGCCTAAGGAGGACAGTGTGGCAGCAGGGGCAGTTGTTTGGAGCCTGTGTGTCAGGCGGATACAGCAAGGCCAGGTCTAGGCCATGGCATGAAGGGCGGAGGGGCAAGGACACAGGGGGGAAGAGTTTAGCAGGGAAATGGTGTGACTTGGTGCTTGGTGGATGTGTAAAGGAAAGGGAAGTGGATTTCTTGCCCCCGTCTATGATTACAGGCTCCACATCCAGCCCACCCTGGCCTCCCCCTCCTCCACCAGACTGCTCACCTGGCAGAGGTAACCAGTGGGCTGGGCCAGGCAAGTGGCCCCAGGCTGGCAGGGCCTGGATTCGCAGGGGTTCACCCTGTCCTGGCACACGCTGCCCCGGAACCCTGGCGGGCAGCGGCAGACATAGGAGGGGACGCTGTCCACGCAGAGGCCTCCGTTCTGGCACAGGGAAGACACTTCCGTGCCTGGGGAGAGAGACCCACAGGGGTCAGTAAAGCTGAGTGGGGTGGAGGGTGCTCAGCTGAGCGGAGAGGCTGTGGGGCCGCTGACATTCCCCGGCGAGGTGGAGGCCTCTCGGAGCTAGAGGAGCCAGCACCTACCGACGCTGAAGAGGAACAATCAAGTTCCTCCTCTGCCTGTTCTGCCAGATGGCGTGAGGTGCTCTTTTAAGCTTATCAGAGCATTGTAAGCAATGCGTTCTTGTATTAAAACATGTCTCAAGCAAGAAAGGATGAAGAGAACTTCAGGTGGGGGCATGTGGCTGTCAGGTTCAGGCACCAGCCAAACATACGCACACGGAAGGAGCAGGTGCCTGAATCTTACAGTGGCCTCAGCCTGTCCAGAGTTTTGTGGCCTCTGATTCTCTCGCTGAGTCCCAGGGACCATCCCGCTGCCCCACCGTGGTCTTTCCTGAGTTCATCTCAAGCAACCTTGTTAGAAGAATGGGGCTATTCTTTTACAGGGGGTTGGCGGATCATCAGAGTGAGTGGGGTGTGGTGAGAAGTGCTGAGTGCAGTTGGTTCGATGTGAGAGCAATGCAGAGCTGCTCCCCACCCAGTCCTGTCCCTGCTGGTTGTGCTAAGCTGGAGTCCTGTTGAGTGGACTGATGGTGTGTGTTTTGAATGTGGCGCTGGGGCTGTGTTCGGCTGCTGTGGTGTTAAGCTGTAGAATCAATGACTGGTTGGTCTGTGTTGCTTTAAGTTGTGATTGTTTTGGCCCAATGTGGATGCCCGGAGATGGTGGGTAGAGCAGGACAGACACCCTTTTCCCTTGATCTGCTTCCCAATCGGTCCTCAGGTCAGTACCTTGGCTCAGGGCAGCTTTCTGGCAGGTGGACAGCGGCACGTTGCAGAGAGGCCCTGTCCATCCCTGGACACACAGGCACCGGAAGGAGGGCCCAGCCTGGAGGCAGTGGGCATGGTGGGGACAGGGCTTCTGGGCACATAGGTCCAGCAGAGTCTGGCGTAGGGAGGAAGCATTGGCAGAACAGCATGTCAGCTTGCCAGGCCCTGACATATCAGCGCTCTAGACTCTTTCGCCTTTGAAACTCCTGAGTGTCTGGGAGCAGGCGTCCCTCCCTCATTTCCCTTCATACCACGTCCCGGGACAGCCTCTGGGGTCAGAAATCTTTTCCACTTTTAAACTTCTCAAGCTAGACTTCAATCCCTAGATTTTGAAAACTTAGGGGAAATCACCCCCAAGCTGTCCTGCTTGCCCCCTTGTAGTACCCAAGACCATCTCACATGGCCTGGACCCCTTGCTCCCTTAGCAACCTGCTCCTTCCCTCACCTGGCAGATGCTTCCTGTGTAGCCAGGGGGGCAGAGGCAGCGGGGACCCTGAGGGCCATCCTGACAGGTCGCCCTGTTCCTACAAGGTCTGGACAAGACAGAGACAGGGCACAGTACGGGGAGGGTCTGGGAAACAAGGGGGAGGGGGTGGGTGATGGGGGAGGTAGCCACTGGGGGGTGGGAACCAGAAGGGAAGGAGTGAGAGAGAGAGAGGCTGTGGGCTGAGGGTGGGAGGTGGCCAGGAGGAGCCTGGGAGGAGAGGGAGAGGAGGTTGGGACAGCTGAGGGGGTCCCTCCCTCCTTCTTGTCCTCCCCCTTCCCTCCAGGGGTCTGTGCACCTTGCTCACCTGTCTGCACAGCTGGGACGGACCCTTCCCTCACACCTCGGGCCCTGGAAGCCTGTGGCGCAGAGGCAGGAGAAGGTGCCCGGCCTGTTCACACAGGTACCCCCGTTGAGGCACGGTGCTGGAGAGAGGGGTCTGTGAGAATTGGGTTCCGAGCCTGTAACCTGGCCTGGCAGTCACAGGTCATACTCCTTCTGCCACCCCACCAAAGGAGCAGCTCCCTGGGTCCTGTTAAATATGTTGAAATGTGGCCCAGCCCCTCGGGCCCTCACCTGAGGCACAGTGGTCAGTGCTGGTCTGGCAGCGGGCTCCAGTGTGGCTGGGTGGGCAAGTGCAGGAGTAGCCCCCGGGGCTGGGGCTGCAGGAGCCACCATTGAGACAGGGCCCCGAGTGACAAGCTGTCACCTCTTCATCACAGGTGGGCCCTGAGGGAAATGGGGGGTGAATGAGAAGGGAAATTCTTTTCTCGCTTCTCCCCACCCCCATTGTTCTCTTCACCTGAGTCCTTCACCTGTGTCCTCTGCATCCCCTGCAGCCTGTGCTCAGTTTTTCTGGGTAGTGACGGAGCCCCGGGACAAGTTTTTACCACCTTGCCCTTGACTGGCAGGGTGACCAGCCCAGGGTGCTGTGGTTTAGGGAGGGCCTCACCTGTGTAGCCTGTGAGGCAGCTGCAGTTATAGCCAGAGGGCTGGGGGTGGCAGGTCCCCCCATGGGCACAGGGCGTGGAGATGCAGCCTCCCAGCTCTGCCTCACACTCTGGTCCTGTCCAACCCATGTCACACACACATGAAGAGCTGCTCACAAAGAGAAAGAGGAGGGTTTCTTGGTTTTCTCTTTTCCCCTCTGACCACACCCCTATGACCTCTTCCCCCCACCCTTTATTTTTTGATCCTGAGACTCTGGCCTCTTTTCTCAGTGACTGTGGCCCCAGCTTTGTCTCTCTGTCCCCCCCCCCCACCTTGCTCATGCTCTTTCTCTATGTGTACAATATATCTAATACACAGCTACAAAGATCTATCCTTCTGTATTCCTTTTATAACTTGTCTGCCTTTCCTCATTAGAGTGGAAGCCCCATGAAAGCAGACACTGTTCTCAAGTTCCTTGTGCCTGGAACAGAATCCACACGTAGAGTGGCTCCTAACATCTGTCCACTGACAGGTGGGTTGGTCCTGGGATTAGTGTCCTTCACTAGTGCCCTTCTTTCTGCTCCGGCTCCCTCGTGTTCTCCCTCCACTGGCTGTGTCCTCAGAGCTCTGCCATTTCCTCCCTCTGTCCATTGGTCATGTCCCACAGCCCATCCCCTGATGGCTGCTCTCCAGCCCTAGAGGGGAGGTCCCACCGGGAAGGGTGGGGTGCAAGCCAGGAGGCCTGCAGACATACCCGAGGCAGTGCCCATGGTGGCAGGTGCAGCTGTCCTCCGCGGGGGCACAGCCCCGGCTTCCGTCAGGGCAGAGGCAGGGTGCTTCGTCCTCCCGAGTCTGGCATCTCTGCCTGGGCTGGCACAGGTTGGGGGTACACAGGGGAACCTCACAGAGATCACCTGGGTGGGGAGATGAGTCAGAGAGGAAGCTGAGACCCTCCATGTCCTAATGGGGGCGTGGCTTGGTGTCCCCCCACCCCCCAGCCTGTCCTTCAGCAGCTGCCATTGCCTCAGGATACCCAGAATAACACATGGCATCCTGCATCACATGACTTTCCTGTAACTGCTGTGTTTCTCATCCTTTCTCTGTTGCACCATAATGGATGTCCCATAGTTCCTTAAATGGGGTGTACTTTTCCTTCCCCTGCCTTTGCACCTGTGGCTTTCTGCAGCCAAATCACACTGTCATTCTATTCTGACAAACTCCTACTCAATCTGCAAGTGCACTCAGCTGTCACCTCCTCCGGGAAGCCTCTCATCTTTACTCAGGCTTGCAGGCCTTTGTGCCCTCTCTCAGAACCCTGCCTGCACCAGAATCAACAAGGGACTTAGTGGTCTCTGCAGTAGATTGAAGCCACTTATGGCTAGCAGCTCTCTCACTTGCTTCCACGCCTGGCATAGCAGACACTTGGTTACCACTTGCTAAATAAACACACGAATGGCTTTCCTTGGCTCCCGAGCCCCCGCTGCCCTGTCACGCTGGGCCTGACTTCCGTTCTGGCTAACATCCACCCTTGTCTCCCTGGCTGTGGTTGTGTGGGTTTTGCACTGAATGTTTTTTTTTTTTTTAATAATATAATAGTTTATTTTACATCATTTTGTGCCTTTTCCCATCTCAGTTGTAATCCCCATGGGTTTCCCATCACCAAATCACCCATGTGCCATCACCATAGTCCAGTGCACTTCCCTCCCCCCACTGTTTTTGATCCCATTCCCCACTCCACCCCAATAAAATGTCTCTGCTATATAGCTCTTCATTATTATTATTATTTTCTCGCCTGGTCCGTCATACTCCTGCTATGATGCACTGAATGTCTTTAAAGGGGCTGCATTCTCATTTTGCTCCCCACCCTTAAACACCCACCAATGACTTCTGCCCCACCCCAAGGTGCCCCCACTCCCTTCAATGCACCCCCTGCTGACCTGTAAAGCCGGAGGGGCAGAGGCAAAAGAAAGCTCCGGGGAGATCGAGGCAGCTGGCTCCCTCGGGGCACGGGCCGCTCAGGCACTCGTCCACCTCCGCCTGACAGCGAGGGCCTTGGAAGCCTGCAGCACAGCGAGGCTCAGGGACCTGCACCAAGTTGCCCCTTGCCCACTCTCCTGCCTCCGAGCTCCAGCTTACCTGGGAGACACTCGCAGAGGAAGGACCCAGGCTGGTCCTGGCACTGCCCCCCATTGGCGCAGGGCGAGCTGCTGCACTCGTCCACGTCCTCCTCACAGCGGGACCCCGTGAATCCTGAGGGGCAGGGAGCAGGTGGGGGGGCAGGGTGAAGGTCATCATTTTTCCTTTTAACTTTCCCTTGACTTTTTAGGGAGTTTGTCCCAAATGCTTGAGTCTGACAGGTGTGATTTCATGGATGCAAATGAGAAGTTAAAGTTAACTTGATATTTAAATCTTCTCAGATATAGAACTAACATTGCTCCAAATTGCAGTGGAGAAAATCTGGCTTCAGGTGGCCTGGTTGGGGTTTTGCAATATAAAAGCACGGGAATGAGGCTGGTGAATGATGGGAGGTGACACGGAGGAGGTGAGGCTCAACCACCCGCTAGCTGTGTGACTTAGAGCAAGTCACTCAGCCTCTCCAGGCCCCAGTTCCAGTCTCTGTAAAGTGGAGTAAAGCGGGCCCCAGGTCCCATCTCTGTAAAAGTGGAGTTATGATGGGACCTGCTTCGTGGCCCCACTGAGGATAAAAGAGATAAGGCCCAAAGACACAGAGCCTCTTCCCGAACAAATGTTCAGAAGCATCAGTTACTACTGGAGCAGAACCAGGGGGTGTCAGAGAAACTGGAAAAGAGGCCTGAGGCAGCTTCCCCTGCACCCCATGAGCAGTGTCCATACGGGCCGGACCCGGACATGCTGAGAGTGGCCAAAGGACTCTGCAGGAGGGCTGGGGACGTTTGGGTGGTTTGGCAGCACAGAGATGGGGGTGGGCACGTGAACAAGAGAAGATTTGAGAAACGTAACAGACGCGAGTTTGGAGAGCAGAGAAGCAGCAGCTGGGTCTCCTTGGTCAGGCTAGGGAGAGTTTCACGCGGCCGGCTCGGGTGGTATGGGCCTGACTGGTAGAGCTCAGAGGCCCTGGGCTGGGGGCCGGACTGGAATCTGCACCCACCGGGCGGGCAGACGCACAGGAAGCCGTTCAGCAGGTCTCGGCAGTCAGCCTGGTTCAGGCACGGAGTGGAGGCGCAATCGTCTGTCTCCACTTCGCAGAGCCGCCCTTCTAGGCCTGGGACGCGGGGGAGCGGCGGGGTAAGGCCAGCCTGCCTTGGCCGCCTGGCCCTCTGTCCACTGGCCTGGCTTTGAGCCTGTCCTGCTCCTTACCTGCCCGGTACCCCCCTACCAGTCTGTTCTGTGTGGCTGGACTGAAAACGCAGGCCAAGCTGCTTAGCTGTGCGACTCTGCCCCCTTCAGGTGTGAAAGCTCAGAGTCAGGCTGTCTGCTTCTAAGTGAGGGTGTAGTGCTACAAGGAAGTGCCTTTTGGGGTCTTCCTCGTTGCACAGAAGGTGGGGCTCACCCACGGGACTGACCCACATGGGGGTCTTCAAGGGACAGACCATACAAATGGGCATCTACTTGGAGGGGATTCATTCCTCTGGTTTGGTCTGCACAGGCCTCCCTCCCGGATGGCCAGGATCGGGGGGAACCGGGCATTTGGGAAGCTGTGTGCTCTCATATTTGTCCTATTTCTTTGGCTCGTCCTCATTATCACTGTCTCACCCAGAACTGAAGCTGGATCAGACTGCAGACATTGGCTGCCTCCCTTTTCTTGCTGGGGAGCCTGCCTCAGAAACTCCTAGAACTCTGTGATGGTCCTGGATAACTAGACAGTTTTCTTAGCATTTTTCCTTTGATGCAGCTCAGATTAGGAAGGTGTCATGGTAAAGGCCTCGATGCCTGGGGTGTGAATCCCGGACAAGTCACTTAAACTCCCTCTGCCTTAGTTTCTTCATTTATAAATGGGCACGGTGGGCCCTACCTGGTGGCGCAACAGGTTAAAGCGCAGCACTATGAAGCTAGCTGTAGCAGCTCCAGCACGAGTTCGATTCCTGCCAAGGAACGGACCCACAAGGCTCAGCAGGCCTCGCCTGTCTTGCCCACTGCTCCCCTCAGCAGTGTATTTCAATACATCTGCCTGTTCTGCTCCCCACTGTTTGGGGTGAATTCTCTCACCCCTAGCACCTCTGGTCTATACCCCAGTTCTTGCATGCATAAACAAATCATTAGAAAAATAACCAAGGGCCTCCCTGGTGACACAATGGGATAAGTTGAAGCTATCGTAGCCACTGTAGCACAAGTTTGATCCCCGCCCCAGAGCCGACCCACATGGTGCGGCAAACCTCTCCTGGCCCGCCCGCTGCTCCCCTCAGCAGTGTACTTCGCCAGTCGGCCTGTTCAGCTCCCCACTCTGTCTCTGGTGAATCCTCCTACCCCCTGCACCTCTGGCCTGTACACCAGTTCTGGATGCATAAATAAACAAATCTTTAAAAACATGGGCTTGGTGACAATGCTGAGCCTTTAGCGTATTTACTTCCCCTCAGGTGACTGATTTACCGCCCACTGACATATGTATATATATACTTTCGGGGAGTGTGGCTTCACACCTCCACATGTCTGCGCCTCACTCACACAGGTCATTGGCAGTGCATGGGAGATGCGTGGACGGCTCTGACACACGGTAAACCACTCTTTTGCTGGCTTCATTCGGCTCCCTAATTCTGGCTGCGTCACTCTCTTGCTGGGGAGTTGTTTCCCATAAATTACCGCGGAGGCTACCAGCGAGTTTCTGCGGTTAGCAGGAGCAGCCTGGGTTGACGCGCGCAGAGACTGCGGCACGACAAGTTTACTAGTTGCTGCCCTGCTCCCCTGGTTGGGCCTCTGGGTACAGTGGCCCGGGGAGGGGGGGCGTCTGCAATGACCGTGCCATGACCGCTCGCCCGTCACCCCAGAACCGAGCATGCACAACCTCACAACCATCTGCGACAGCCCTTGTGGGCCCTCGGGTTTCCCAACGTTTTCATCTGGGGGTGGGGAGAGAAGTATTTTTGGTAACTGACCCCTCTAGCCTGAGACTCCGTGCCCCGGAGAGGTGACGCCTTGTGGGGTTGGGGTTAGCCCCCAGTCTCTTCCACCCAAGGCCCCAGTCACCGGTACCTGGTGGGCAGAGGCAGTGGAAGGTGGCGAGCAGGTCCAGGCAGGTGCTGCCGGGGCGGCAGGGCTGGGACAGGCACTCGTTGTGGTCGGCCTCGCAGCGGGAGCCCGTGTAGCCGGGGGGGCAGAGGCAGTCAAAGGAGCCGGGGGTGTTGAGACAGGAGCCCCCGTGTTCACAGGGGCTGGGGCCTTGCTGGGCTGGGGAGAGAGAAGAGCTGGGCGTCCCCGGGGGCTGGGGGTGGGCGGCCGGGAGGCCAGGCCGCGGGGGGAGGAGTGGGGCCTGCGGGTGTCAGTGAGACCAAACTGGGTAAAGGGCCTGCGTCTGCCATGGGGCCGGATGAACTAGGCCTGGAGGGCTCGGCCGGGTGAGAGCACCATGCGGGAAAGAGACGCCAGACCCGACACATTCAGGACACAGAGGTGTTTATGTTTGCTGAAACCAAGTAGCCTGTTCCTCGGTGCAGCGCAGTGTGGGTCTGGGGGCCCCAGGGCACCTGAGGTGGGGGTGCCTCACCCATCTGACACTCGTCCAGGTCCTGGTGGCAGGTGGGCCCCGTGTAGCCAGGCTGGCACAGGCAGAGCGCGGCGCCCGTCAGGGGGTTGGTGCTGCAGCGGGCTTCCCCGTGGCAGGGCTGGCTCAGACACTTGTCCTCCATGTGGCACAGGAGACCTGCCGGGGGCCGGGCGTGAGGCTCCGAGGCCCTGAGGCTCCCGCCGCCCGCCTGGCACTCCTCTCCCTCACCGAGTCCACCCCCCGCCCGCCTCCCTGGGCCCTCTGCCCGCACCCGTGCGGCCAGGTGGGCAGAGGCAGGAGAAGGAGCCCACGCGGTCAATGCAGGTGGCCCCTGCCGCACAGGTGGCCGTCGCACAGTCGTCCAGGTTCTCCTCGCAGCCTGAGCCCCCCCAGCCGCTCACACAAACGCAGTGGAAGCCACCAGCCGAGTTCTGGCAGGTACCCCCATTCCTGCATCGAGGGGGACCCTGAGTCTCACATTCGTTCACATCTTCAGAGCAATCCCGGCCTGTAAGGGGGGAGGGATGGGACAGGGACTGAGCGGGGAGCCCTCTGAGTGGGGAGGCCAGGAGCTGACCCTGCGGGCTAGCGGTGCTGGTGGCCCCCACAACTCACCTGTCCAGGCCTCTGGGCAGAGGCAGGTGTAGGTGCCCAGCCCATCCTGGCAGGTGCCCCCGTGCTGGCACTGGTGTGCGACACAGTCGTTGGGGTTCACCTCACAGTCCAGGCCTGTGAAACCTGACCGAGCCGTGGGATCAGCGGGGGTCAAGGTACCTAGGGGACACCCTCCTGCACAGAAGGGGGGCTGCAGGAGGACCTACCTGGGGCACAGAGGCAGCGGTGAAAGGGGGACCCCTTCTCTGGAGCCAGCTGGCAGGTGCCCCCGTTGAGGCAGCCCCTGGAGGGGCATTCTCCTGGCTGGAGCTCACAGCCTGCACCCTCCCGCCCAGCAGGGCAGAGACACTTGAAGGACCCCAGGGTGTTATGGCAGGTGGTGCCCGTGGGGCAGGCGTTGGGGTCCCGGTAGCACTCGTTGACGTCGTGTTCGCAGGCATGGCCCTCGAAGCCCAGGGGGCAGCGGCACTGGATCTGGGGGTACGTGGTCAGACACACCCCTCCATTGACGCAGGGGTTGGCTGAGCAGAAGTCCCGAAGCTGGCACTGCTCACCTGAGGCAGAGGACAGAGTGGGTCTAGCTCAGACTCTGCCCTCGGACACGCTCGCTCGGGTTCTCACGGGCTCAGCGTCAGGCCTCCTGTCTGTCCTCCCAGACCATCTTGCCCCGCTCCATCTCCCCTTCTTTCTTTCCCCAACCCTTGGGCAGGTTCTGTCTGGAGTGACCGCATTTTCCAAGCTGAAGAGGTCATGTGTCTATCCGGGAGGATCTGGACACAGGGTCCCTTCCGTGGTGGCCCGTGTGGGGAGTGGCGATCACCCCTCTCTGCATTCAGGGGTCTTGGCGGGGTGTCATCTGGCCGCTCACCCTGAGTTTCTGACCTTTACCGGGGAGTGTGATTGGGTAGTGACACCTCACTTCCCAGCCTGGCACCCCATTGGGGTGGGGGTGGGGCGGTGCCCGGGTGCAGGTCCTGAGCTAAGGGAGCACATCCCGCAGCACCCCTCTCCCTTCTCACCGCCTTGAGAAGTGGGGATGCCTGAGAGCAAGACAGCTCGTGCAGACACGTGACTCTTCAGCTGGGCACAGCTGGCCGGGGGACTGGGCCCCCTGGGCCCTGCTCTGAAGCACAAGGCCTGGTGGATCGTCCCTGACCATCTCCTGTCATCCATGTGCTGGTGTTGTACATGGGGCCTAGGCTTGGTTTCCTCGGAATTACCCTGGCAGTTTAAAGTCTCCACGCCGGGCCTGCCCTCGACCCCCAAAATCAGATGCTCTGGACTGAAGTGCTGGTGTTTTCAGACTTTCCAGCTGGCGGCTGTGCTTAGTCCAGCCTGATGTCTAGTTTACCCCTAAGAGGGACACCCACATTCCACGCACTTTCTTACCCACGTGATCTTGGCTGCCGGGGCCAGTCCCTTCCTCCCTGCTGGGGCCCTTGGTCCTCTCAGGCTGCCTCCCCGGGGCCCACCTCCTGCCCATCACTTGTCCTGTTCTCTTGCCCGGAGGGTCACCTTCTCCTGGATGGGCTCCGTTCCCCTCTCCAGTCCTATCTCCCCCAAACCCCCACAGCACCCTCTCTGGGTGATTTTATGAGCACCCCCACTCAGACGCTCAGGAAGCAGAGTCCTGGAGGGGCCTTGGTGCCAGGCATTAGCCTGGCTTCTGGTGGGGGGCAGGGGAGGGTCAGGGCAGCGAATTAAGGGCGCAATGGCAGTAGCCCCTTACCAACTGTGGATTCATTGGGCCTGTTAGCAATCAGCACCACCAGCTGGTGAAGCTGTTTTGGGCAAACAGGTCCCCCACCATCAGCTTGATTCCCATGGCCTCTGTCCTCAAAGGGCCCCATGTCTCTCGTTTCCAGCCCACCTTTCCCACCCCAGCCGCCCCCCTGAATCTGCCTGCACCCTGCGCCCTCTCCGTTGATGCTTACCTGTCCATCCAGGTAGGCAGGAGCACTTTGGGAGGCCCGAGGCCTGGATGTGGCAGCGGCCCATTCTGGAGCAGAAGGAAGCGCAGGGGCCCTTGAGCGGGGCCTGACACCTCTGGCCAGTGAAGCCAGAGGGGCAGCTGCAGAAGAAGCTGGGGGCTGAGAGGGAGGGGGTATTGGGGGTGTCCTGCAGGGTGGGAAGCAGAGTTCGGCAGCTGCCCCCATTCTGGCAGAGCTGGGCACCCTGGCAGGGGTCAGCAAACTGGCAGGTCTCACCCAGGAAGCCGGGAGCGCACCTAGGGTGGGTGCGGGAGGAACACAACCATCAGCGCCCCCTCATCTTCTCTCTACCTCCCTCCTGGGCTCCACCCCTACCCCCTCCTCCTCTGCTCCCCTGTCTCCAGGCCCCCTCCAGCAGGCACTCACTGGCAGGTGCCTGGCCCCCCAGACTGGCTCAGGCAGGTGCCTCCGTTGGCGCAGGGTCCTGGGGCGCTCCCGCTCCCACAGTGCAGCCCTGGGTGTGGACAGCAGGAGCTGGGATTAGGGAGCCCTGTGTCCCCCTTTCCTCCTGGGGTGCTCCAGGGGGACCCATCTCCTTCACACCCCTGTTCCTGGTCCCTCTATGGCCCTTTGCCCAGCGGCCTAGATCCCGGCCTCTCAGCTACTAATCCTGCTTCCCCTTTCCTGTTTATTCTCTGGGCTCCAAGTCCAGCCTCAGGCTCCATTCCGCATCCCTGGAAGTAAGACAACAGGGATCAGGAGGGGGGCTGAGGGCTCCTGGGAGGTGAATGGCTGAGACCGGGAAGGGATTTCCTCCAGGAAGGGCCCAGCTTCCAGCCATCCAGGGTGGGGACAGCTGGGCTGGGAGGGGGACCCGGGGTCCTGACCTCCCGTCTCCTTGTCTTGCTCCTGCCTATCTCCCTGCCCTGGCAGGTGGTCAGGCCGATCCTTCTTTCCCTCCTAATGTGGTTGTAAGAGCCCCCTGTCCCTTAGCTGAGGGCCACCGGGTTGTCCCTGGGGTGGGCACCCTATTATCCCCCTGCCCCATAGATCCACCCCTGGCACCAGGCCCAGAGCCTTGTCTGTGCTGCTCCAGGAAGAGTCTTCTCCCCTGCAGGCAGGTCCCATCTGGGGGTGAGCTCTGCTCCATCCAGTGTGGCCTCAAAGCTTGGGTTCAGGACTCTGCCCCAACCTCATCATCCTAAGGGAGATAAGCCCGCCCCACTCCCACCCCCACGCCTCACCTCTGGTCTTGACGACTGAGCAGCACAGCAGCAGCAGTGACAGTGAGGGGGGCTGCATCCCAGTGCCCCTGCCCAGCCCAGGCCCCCCAGCTCTGCAGGCAGGACCCTCCCTGAGGCCGCCGCCACCTCTGCTTCCAGGGCCCTTCCTCCTCCTGCTGGGTTCCAGGCCTCGAGTCTGAGCTGTTTCCTGAGTCACACAATGTCCTGGACACCCTAGTGATGGGGGAGGAACTTGGAGGGCCGAGGGAGGGGCCTTCTGTCCCTGACAACCCCTGAGGAGGTGGGGAAGGACTGTGTGGCTGGAGGCAGGTGTGAGGAGGGAGGGGCCCAGCCGGGGGTCCTGCTGCCTCTCCATGTCCCTCCTTTCTAGAGAGGGGTTGTGAGGTCTCCTGTGCCTCAGACGGGGGAGGGGGTGAGAGATGCCCTGTCTCCTTCCTGAGAGAGGATGGTTATTTTGTGAGGTGAGGACAGATTCCTCTCAGAATCTGCAACTGGCGTGAAGTTGAAACCGCTAACCTTGGCAGTGGAATTTTGAACCCCACTCTGACCCTTGTGAGGAACTCAGTTTTCCCTTTTTGGGGAATAGACAAGATACTGGGGTGGTTTTGGGGGGGAGGTCAAGTGCAGATTCCTATGAGCTGGCCACTCATGGGCAGCCGTGACCCATTGGCTCTCTCCAAGTCGCGGCAGGGCGTCCCTTGACTAGCAGGTGCATAGCTCGTACACTGTAGTTCGGGGCACCTGGGCCGCCGTTGACCTGACTACGTGACTGTCTCCTTGGTGGCCTCGGGACAGCTCTGCCTGTGACCACATCATACATTGCTGACGCAAGTGTCTTGTCACGTGGTCACGATGTCCCTTCCCTGTCCCTTGTCCCTCATTCCTCATTTCAACTCTCCAGGCTCTATTCCTCAGACCATTGTCGCAGGATCAGCTGTGACTGGCCTGTGTGATTTCAGCAAGTGGCACGAGAACCTCTGCTCAGGTAGAAGAGTCTGGCTTCGCACACCTGCGCCACGGGTCTCTCATGGTCCAGCTGCAAAGAGGCAACAAAGTTCCTGTCCCACAGCCAAGGAGAAATGAACACTGTCTGCACTAAATTTTGCATCAGGTTTATCACGGAGACGCTACAATTCTGCTCCCTTCCGCCACCGTCACCCTTTGCTGCAATGCCTGGGGGCTGCCGGGGGTTCATTGCTGTGACTCACCTACCTTCTGCAGTCACCCCAGGGCAGCTTGGGGTCAGCAACCGCAGTTCCCTCAGCAGCACAGAGGACTGAGTGTCCAGGAGGGGAAGGGAGGTGTTAGCAGCCCCAGCACCCAATGAGGCACCAAGGGGTCCAGGTGTTTTTCCTGTTCGTGGGTACACTTTGCCAGCTCCATACTTCTTCTTTTATTTTGACTCATATAAATCACAACTTTACCAATAATAAACTTTTAGATAATTTTAAGTACACAGAACAAGGAGAATGCTAAATGATTCTTGATATCTTCCACTGGGGTCCCCCACTGATCCTATCTGACTCCATTTTTTTGGTTAGATCTATTTATTTATGCATATAGATCTGGGGTACAGGCCAGAGGTGCAGGGGCGGTGAGAGGCTTCACCAGAGACAGAGGGGAGCAGAACAGGCAGATTGACGAAAGTACACTGCTGAGGGGAGCAGCGGGCGGGTCAGGAGAGGTCTGCTTCGCCATGTGGTCACCTCCGGGGCAGGCGGGAATCGAACTCATGCGGAAGCGGCTTTTTAGATTCTCAATGCTGTGCTTT